GTATGCATCATCATTTCCAGAGTAGGACCGTGGACGTGGTACATTCCCAGACGTTTCGCCGGCATCGTTGGTGAGTCTCGCCATTCGTAGCACCATATTACAACTCGTCGAAGAGACAAGTGAAGTCCATCCTTTCACCAAACGTGTGCTAAACAATTGATATCTCCCCTTATGCCCTGACCTATTCACATTTCCTATATCTTCCTATCATGCCTTCCCTGTCACAATTTTAACCGTGCTTATTTTTAATGTAGTGTGGTGTGCTCCTTCGAGAGGCATTCATGAAAACCCTTCACACTCCACACTGTCCTTATCACCCCCTTCACCCACACACCTTCTTGGTCTTCATACCTTAAATTAAATTGAGGTTCAAAATAATTTTCGCCTCCTACATGAGCCAATGTGACTCTCATGTAGGGAAAGTTGTCTGTTAAACCATAAGGGACGTTTCCAAGCTCCTTCGGGTAGCGGAGGTGCAGTTAGACCTTAATCACTTAAATGGCCTAATTACCTAAACGGATTGGATTATTTCATTTGAACAAGCTGTGCCGCTTCTCAAGAAGTGATATAAGTTATGAAGACTTGGTATATTTTATTACTGTGGTTTTCTGCAGCACACTGCTCCTTTTATCGGTAATTTGACAACAAGATCAAACATATTAAGGAGGTTCACAAATTTCAACAGTATGAAGAACAGAAAGATTAACTGAGCATCATGGACAAAGGAGGTACAGTGGTTAAACACTTATCAGGATTCCTATTCGAATACTCAAAAATTGCTGGAAGACGGAAAGGTTTAGCTCAGCGTATTAATAAGCCTACCAATGATACAGCGTTACATTGATTTAAGCACAAAGGGAATCTGCATATGCCTTAGAAGCAAAGTAGCAGTGTTAATAGTTGCGCTCAGAGTACTCTTAAATAAAGCATTACAAAAGACTATCGCCTCCCAATATGCTGTCTTTTGGATGAAACAGCCGGTTCCAGTGGTTGAGGTACCGCTCGCGCGTTGAGAATGGTTCTAAAGCTGAGGATCTCAGAGCCACCCTTCAATGTTCGGTCGTCTCGGAGGCTTTCTGGGATCAGTTCTTTCTCCTCCTCCTCTTCCTCTTCGACCTCTGCCTCGATGTCGCTTTCCACGTCCACTCCACTCTCTGACTTCTTCACACGCGGGCAAATAACTCGGCCCACCACTTCCACCTCTGCATGTCTTTCAATCGCTTGATTCGTCAGCACACGTGAGCAATCCTCCATAGATTCAGCCAAACTCCATCTGGCCGCCGAGGCCCGGGGACAATAGCGACGGGCAGCAAAGGTGCTCGAGTTGCCAATTGACTGTCTAGCCGGCGCCTGTTTCTGCTTCAGAAGACTTGTATCCGAAATCATGCTTGTCTGCTTGAGCTCGATGTCCTCTTGCATAATTCCAAAGTTAAATGAAGCATCAGTCAACTTTTTCCGGGCCGGCAAATTCTGAGTAGTATCTGACGCGGCTTCATGGCGAGTCCAGATTGCCTGATCACTCTGCGGACGTTCAGAAGGGCAAGCGACAAGCTGAGCTGGACCATTCACCTGACAGAAGCTGTCGCGACAAGCAGTGTCCTCCTGTAAATAAAAAAAGAAACAAAACAATCCATCTACGTTGACGTGACAACAGGGGCTCGACCATCATTATGTGGTAGTTAAACAAACGACATTTGCATGGCTTTCGCTTGAATATGAATATATAAATATTTTTTGGCTTCACCTCATTCTATCAACTTATTCGTAGCGGCATAGCAACCGTGTAGAACGTACCAAGTGGCGAAAACGACATTTAGCCAACACTTGTGCTAAAGCGGACTGCCGCCAAACAGAATGCCACACCACCTGAGCCTTTATATCTACGATATACATATTTTTAGTTTATAAGTAGGCTTTCAAGAATGTCAG